TATAATATATATATATATATATAAGAATTATATAATTACTTAGGTTAGTTCTTTAATTTGTTGCTTTCTCTCGGCAAGATGTTTTTGCAATTGTTCACGCTCTTTTATCAAAAGCTTGCCATATCTAAAAAAGATAACAAACATTAAGTAAAAACTCATAGAATCACTAATTATTTTATTTCAACTTACTCCGTAGCATCTGTAGCCTCTTGAGCCTCTACAAACCAACAATAGTAATAAATTATTATATGAATAATATTGCATTGAATTTAAACATTTATATATATATATATATATATATATTATGAATTTATTTTATTGTACTTAGTTGTTGTACACTAAGTTGGACTTAGATAAGTAAGGTTAGAGCTTATGATGATTTTTATTTTATATTTAAAATCAAAGTGTACCTAATGCAAACATCGATCGGCGTCTTGGTGCAGCCTTTGGTACTTCGAATTCACTCATTATTATAGTTTATTGAATACAAAATTTAATTTAAATAAATATAAATATAAACTTATGTGATGACTGTTGAAAACGTTGCAACGAACAATTGTGGACAACTGTCAAAGTATAACTTAACCTTACAATTTTATTTAATGTAACGCACAGAAATGTTAAGTTAGAATCTAATATTATATTATTTCGATTATTATTTAGTAGTAGTATTCGGTTTTTTAATATTTTCTCATTTAATTACAAAATTTTATATTAAAGATTAAATTTTATTTGTTGAGAGCTTTAACTACTTATTGCTAACTTCTGTTGCAACTGTCAAAGGTGGAACATAACCTATAAGTTTTATTGTAACGGACAAAAATGTTAAGATAAAGTATTAATTATAATATTTCCGAAATTATTAAGTGCTAAAGTGATTTCTAATACATTTTCATTTAGTGAAAAACTTTTGCTGTATAGTATAAAATGACATTTTATTCGTGTTAATCAACACTTGTTCAAAAAGTTTGTCATGTCATGAAAAAATCGTTTCAACTTGAACATTTGTTTAAATTTGAAGAGATTCTTGTAATTCTGCTCCACAAGGTAAAATTATACAAATATTTTAATATTGCTTGGTTTAAACGTTTAATATCATTTCTTACTTATTATTAAGTCAAGATTTAATATGACCATGTAAATTTTTTTGATCCATTGAAGGTAAAATTGTGTAAGGAGCCTATTATGCACTCTGTTCAAATGATTAACATTAATTTCTTACATTTGTATTGACAGATTATATAAATTTGCTTAAGGGATAGAAAATAACATGTGTAAAGATGCTAGTAATGCTTTGTTTAAACATTTACACCATTTCTATCTTTTTCATTAAATCAAGACTTAATACATAAAGATCATGTATATTTGTTTAATCGATAGAATGTAAAGTGTGTAAAGATTCTAGTAATGCTTGTTTAAACATTTAACATCATTTCTTACTTTTTTTATTAAACCAAAAGACTAAATGCGAACAGATCATTATAAATTTGCTTCATCGGAAGATAAAATTCTGTCCTAAAGATCCCAATAATGCTTTGTTTAAACGTTCAGCAATATTTCATACAGTTTATTAAACCAAGACTTAATGCATGAAAATCATGTATATTAGCTAGATTGATAAAAAGTAAAAATGTGTAAAGAAACATTTAACATTATTTCTTACTTTTTTGTTGAACTTAATATCGACAGATTATGTAATTTTACCTAATTGATAGAATCAGGTACAATTACGTAAGAAACCAATTGGCTTTGTTCAAACATATAAAATTATTTCTTACATTATAATGTACATCAAAATACTCAAATTAAATCTTTTACCGGTCGTTATATCTATTATGAATTATTATGAAGCATCATAGTTAATTCTTCATTTCGAGCCATGAAGATTATTTTAATGGTTCATTATTAGAACACAATCTTTTATTTTGAGAATAAGTGCATGGTTTCAATCTAGTATGGATGAAAAGTTTAGCATTGCCATTTAATTTATAGTATGCAGTTTTTAATAACTGAGAACACTTACGATTAGATCAGAGATCAAAGATCAATGGATCTTTGTAGAAACTTTCAAGGGGTTTATGTCAATGAAGAAAAAAAATCTTATAATATATATATATATATATATATATATATATATAAGGATCTGTAATATAAAGTCATGTAATATTTATAAGTGCAACAAAACTTCTTGGGAAATTAAAAACTAATTTATTCGATGACAATATATATATATATATATATATATATATATATATATATATATATATACGTGGTCTGTTCAAAAAGTACCCGGAATTTTCGTTTTTATTTATTTATATTTTTTATTCGTCTACATTAATGTGGTCCCCTTCAAAGTAGTCCCCCCCAGATATAATACACTTATGCCAGCGTTTTTTCCAATTTTTCGAAGCACCCTTGATATTCACTTTTT